GAACCTTGAAAAGAGAATTGAAATAAACTTAACTTTGTTGAAAAGTTGTTCTTTTGAATCTTGTGCTTTGTTTGTGAGCTTCAATAAGTGAGTAACCTAGGGGTAATGAAAGGGACTCCAATTCCCATTCGGGGTTTATTCAAGGAATTTTTCATACTATTAAGGTGGTCCCAGCCTGTTGCAAGGTTCAATGTTTCACCCAGGTAATCACTTCCATCCCCTCAGTTCCTTTCCATTCAGGAGCTTTCTCGTAAACTTCATGAGAGCAATTGACAATTGTGATTGGGTAAATTAAGAAAGAAAATGCTAAGCAACTTTTAAAAACTACCAGAAGAATCTTTTGTCGTAGTAATTTCAGCTTTAAAGCATTTAGTCAACTACAACAAAACAATCTATGACCTGGCGCGTGGATAGCGTTATCCGCCTTTTGAGCAACAAGGGCCTAATAGGTACACTTAGTAGGGTCTACAACCCCAGACTCCACCATCCTGCCCCACTTCTTGGATTGGATCCACCAACTCCACCTGACTGCACACTACAAGCTAAAAATTACACAAGCACTAGAAAAGTAATACTGTAAACTTCCACTTATAACCCCCCCCCCCCCCCACCCCCCCATAAACTCCCCCTTATAACCCCCCCCCCCCCCAAACCCCAGTTAAAGGCCCATCTTTTAGAAAACAAGAAATTTCATCCAAAATTTATAACCCCCAACCCAGCCCTGGGATATAAGCCCCACCCTAGCTCTTATTGAAATGAATTTGATTTGTTGTGATGTTTTGAGGCCTAATAAAAAACAAGGAAATGCAAAACATATTTGGATCAGCACTGTCATAGCTTGTTTCCAAGAATCTTTTCTAGTCCAGTTATAAGCCCACTCAGATGCCTCTCTGTTTATAAGTCCTCCAAAAACCCCTTACGAAGATTCATAAGCCCAGAGCTTATAAGCAGCAGTTTATGGTAGCACAATAAAGTTACTTATGGCAAGTTTACAATTTTTTGTTGTAATATACATCCCACCTGAAGTAACTGCTTAAATGATTCTGCATCATAGCTCATAAAGATTGCAATCAGTGATTGCCGTGAGTCAGCAGGAAGGTGACTGATCACCTGACAAAGTTTTCGTAAAAGAGCTTGAGATTCCTGGACAAGGGGATTTTCCAGTAAAATAACCAGCTGTGAAACCTCATCTGGGTTCATAATAACTGAGCTTAGAGCAGCGAGATGAATTTCTAAGGAATTGACTAGTGGTTGAACAAATGTGTCTTTAGGCTCCAAACCCAAAAGAAGAGCATAGGCTTCCCTGACAGCAGAAACATCAAGAGAATCACGGCCATCACCTTTAGATGTCCTAAAACTTTCATTCAAGGCCTCAGATGATGTGAATACTGTTCTGATGGTATTGATAAGAAAAGCTGAATCTTTACACTCCTTGTAATTTTGGACCGAAGATTCAAGCATTGGTAGTGTTAGATGAGTTAGTGAAAACTCTTGAATATGACTTGATGACATCTCAAGAGCGCATTCCTTCTCAAACTCTTCCAAATCAATAAGGTCATTTAACGAGCTGTTTGAGCTGAAAAGTTCAGGTGGCATTCCTGAAAGTGTATGCTCATGAACACGATTACCAGACAGATTCAATTTAGAAAATTCTGTACTATCGAGAGTAAAAACATGTCTTTTTGAGTCATCTTTGACATCTGATGACGGAACATTTAACCCTCTTTTGCCAGTTTTCTCAACATTTCCACCATCACTTAATTCAGCTTTGAAATTTCTTTGATCAAAAGATCCACTCGCTTGCTTTTTCTTAGACTCACTGTGATGGTTTGGTAAAGCAAAATTACCCTCGGAGTTTCTTCTTGGAGGGCTGGGCTGGAAGAGTGATTTGAATGGTGTTGTTGAGAAAAGACAGTGCAGAAATGGCCTCGCACGCCTAGGCTCTCCAACAAAAAGATTGCTAGGTAAAGGATCATTTCTTCGGTTCTCAGGAACACAAATGTGCTTTTTATTTCTTGTGGCCAGTTCTATGCTCATCACTCCAGCAACATCAGGGGTGAATCGCACTCCGTCCTTGCAGGAAAAACAAAACTTGTTTTTACAGTTGCTATTTCCACAGCCCTTGGTAAGCTGGTTGTAGTAGCATTTCACTAAATCTTCAAAATGGCTCTTCATTTCGGAATAGGACGAATTAGGCTGATCGTAGCTACGCATTGGCATAGCTTCCTTGAGGGATAGATTCGAGTCCGAAACAGCCGCAAGATTGCTGGCACTCAGAGTTTTTGCAGTACCTTTGAGTGAGTTGATATGAGCTAAACTGGAATACTTTTTCGAACTATCCAAGTTTAAACTCGTCAGAGATCCAGTAAGCACATCTCTTCGAAGCTTGGGCTGACTGGCATGTTTCTTGAGTTTGTTAAACTTGGTGATCGACTCTCCAGAATGCAATGAATGCCTTTTTGAGTGGGCCATCGGAATTTTCGGCGGCCGAGTTGAAACAACGGCGTGACTACTCAAAACATCATCCATACTCAGCGAATCTCCTCCCTTCTCCTTCCGACAAAAACAACAAGATTATTTCTTGTACATCAAAAACAAAAAACAGGACGGTTTCTTTTGAGCGAAACCTCGTAACTGTACATTTTCACACTTTCACAGGCGGTTTGCGTTATTTCTTCGTCACTCATTCCAGAACAAAAACGCCGCCATTTTCGTTGCCGTGACGACTGTAACAATGGTCAGAGGCTTCCCCCGAAGAGTATTTTCCAAATAAGGAGTGTGATCTAACCTCCGGTCCCGGTGGTGTCGGTGTCCGGCGCCCATGATCGTCTGTTGACAAATTTTCCTCAATCATGGCGAAAGCGGTAAGAGCTTTTTCTCTAATACATAAGTTAGAAATTAGATGTTAAAGAACTAGAATAGCTTTCGTTAGACATATTCTTATAACTAGGTTTCACTTCTAGGACCCACGATTGAGTTTGTGTAAGAAATACTCATTCAAGTTACGTATTTTTGATTCAAAACATAATTTGCATGATATGAACTTCGGTCAGGACGATTGACTTGAGCTAGAACTATTGATTCCTTTTTTTTTTTTCAAGTTTAAGTTAATCTTTTAAGAAGTCAAAATAATTCATTTAGGTTTACCTGGCTGGATGATTCCAAGAGGTCGAATTTGAAGGATTTAAAAGTTTAAAAATACTTTAGTTTTTAGTAGTGTCGATGTGGCAAAATATCATGCTAGAAATTCTTAAAATCACATGTTTCTCAGTTGCTGAAGATACACTAAGACATCGACGGAAGCATTTGTTTTAAATTACATAATCATTTAGCTAGGTATTATTATTTTTCAGTGTAAAGATCCAGTAATCTGATCTTAAAGTTTTACATGCATTTGTACATGTCGTGTGTTGGGCTATAGCTACCATATCCGGCCCTCCCCACCCCACTTCCACTCATCAGGAGTGGTAGTGGTCTTGTGGTCAGGAGCTCTTGTACTCTCCTCCAAGTCAAAACGTATATCATTTGGATTTTACCGGGCGTCTGGAAAAGCCAGAATCCGGAATAGGAATGGGAATGGGAACAGGAACGGGAAACGGAAACGGAAACGGAAACAGAAACGGACCAGGAACAGTAATGTAAAGGGTAACCAATACAAAAACAGACGCATCATTTACCTCAAATTATTATAATTTTTATTCAATTTATATGAAAAATAGAAAAAAAAGGCTGGTATCATGCTCACCCTGAATCTCTATATATTATAACAGCGAGAAGGTAAAAAAAGCAGCAAGTTTAATAAGTAAAGCAACAGCTATGCAAGTGCATCGCGCTCTCTGTGTATGTGTTCACCGTTTATGTACAAGTACGACATGAAATGATCAAATCTTATTTATTTATCTTGAGAACGTGAACGGCAAGGCGATAAATTTTATTGCGTCTGTCTGAGCTGGAACGCGGTCTCCAGTTTCATTTCCCAATCTTTAAAAGACTGGACAATTTAGATGAGAAATAGTTTGAATTAGGACCCGAATTAAATTTCTCAGTGGCATTTTTGCTGGTGTTGCCGTTGTCAGATCTTAAGGTTCCTTCTGTCTCGTGCAGGAAGAAGGTTGAAAACATAATAACATTATTTGTCAGACAATGTGTAAACGAGACACCCATCAGAGACATTCATGAGGCTGCCATACACTTCAAGTTTGGTCCTGGTACTGTGCTAAATTGGAAAGTTAACCAGGAATAGACAGTCCACAACTTAAAAAGGGATACGTATCTCTCCGAAACCCAATGCGATAGGGACCTTAAGCAACAAGAACGTTGATGTCCAGGACGTCGAAAATGAAAACCGGAAGTGGATATTTTCTGTCTTCCAGTGCTCTGACACTTCAAATTCCTACAGTGGAAGGTAAAAGGATTCGTTGTGTGAGACAGAAGCATTCCATCAAGCGAAACATTGAACTTCCGGTTGCTATTAATGAAGACCACTACGGTCAGCATTTCATGTTGTTTAAGTTCGTTTGACATGAAAACGCGATGTGTCACAGGCTAAAGATAAACAAAGGTTATAATTAGATTCACATTTCAAGAGTGTTTTCTTCTTTCTTTGATTATTTCTCCACCTTTTTATTTAAATCATGATTATATCTATTTCTTTTTATATTTCTATACACTGTTTCCATTCCCCTTCCTATTTAGGTTTTGTTCTTTTTTTTCCCCTATAATTTTTTGCATATACCTGAATAGGAATTATAAGTTAAAAAAAGTTAAAAATCCAAATGAGCTAAAATTAAGATAAATGTTGTCCCTGTTTTTATATAGGTTCCTCTTCCCATTACTGTTCCTATTCCAGTTCCGGTTACCCTTCCTGTTCCTGTTCCTATTCCCGTTCCTATTCCGGATTCCGGTTTCCTGCTTTTCCAGATGCCCGATTTTACCTGTAGTCGAGATTAAATAGCTAATGTAAAGTTGTCTTTTTGCAGAAGGAAGAAGATTCAGTGGTCATGTTTGACCGAGACATTCTAAAAGACATTGACTTCAGTAAAGGAGAATGTAGACTACATAAACGTGGTTTGTCTATCAATAATCCTGGTGACAATTTGTTGTTAAGACCACTATGCAGTGATGATTATGAAAAAGGTAAAGGTTGTTTTTGTCATGACTCTAAGGTCCTGTTCACACAATGCAAAATTTGGTTTGTTTTGCAAAAAAATCTGTCAACAGGAAGCCATTTCTAGTACGAATGATTTTTCCAACTACCAAAATTTTCTTGACTGCCACCAAACTTCAAAGATGCCATTTTTAACATTTGGAGGCGTACAATTTTTTGCCAGGCAACAAAATCCTTTGATTCTTGACAGCTATCCTTCGTCGGGTCATCTTATTTCGCGAACATGACCAGAGGGGGAAAAGTTGCAAAAACAAAAAAATGGTGATAACAAAATTTCCAAATTTTTTGCAAGCATGAGTGTGAACAGGGCCTAAATCAGAATTTACTCACTTATCAATGTTATGCCCTTTGCCCTATTATACCTCACCTGCACCCCTATGGCGTGGTGCATTAGTATTGTAGAAATTTCTCTATCCCTTCAGATGTATATCGATTGAAAGGCAATGACTTTATGTCACACAACGGCGATGATTATATTGTCTATGTTGTTTGTCATTTAGAAAGCCAATTTTAAGTTCATTTTTTTTATTGATATTTTGATTAAGTGCATCTGAACAATCAATGAAGGAACGCTACCGGCTGATTGGAAACATGCTATCATCACACCAGTTCACAAAGCTTGTTTGAAATCGGATCCATCGAACCTCCGGCCGATCTCAGTACTTACAGTTTTCTCCAAAATACTTGAACGGGCTGTCCACTTTATGGTCTACAGCTATTTACAGGAACGCAGGCTTCTTTCTCCTCTCCAATCCAGCTTTCACCACTTCCCTCTACATGCACATGCATCACACACCTGACAAAAACTATGCTGGAAAACATTGACAAAGGACTAATAACTGGCCTTATATTTTTAGACCTAAGAAAGGCCTTTGACACCTTAGATCATAGTATCATGTTAGATAAGTTAAGTTCACTAGGAATGAATCGCTCTACTGTCCAATGGTTTAGGTCCTATTTAACCATGCTCACCCAAAGTGTTTGCACTAATGGGGTCTTGTCTGAGCCTCAGCCTATATCTTTCAGGGTCCCCCAGGGTAGCATACGTGACCCTTTATTATTTATCATCTACATAAATGACTTACCTGTGGCAGTTCAAGGATGTAGCGTCTAGCTTTATGCTCATCTATTTTGCAAGCAAGTCAGTCAGTGAAATTCAAGCTCAGTTAACTAGTGGCCTAACTAATATCCTAAGCTGGCTTCACACTAATTTTCTAATACTTAATCTTGAAAAAATGAAGATTATGTTTGTTGGTACCTATCAGAGGACCAATTTTCAAGAGAGACCACAGTCTGAACTTGGCACATGGAATCTCAAGCTTTGCCTCGGGATATTATTCTTGTAGTGCTAATTTATCTGAGATCATATGACAAAATTGATTCCTTGTCGTTGAGAAAAGTGCTGTATTTGTTCCAAAAGGTTGTACACAACGTTGAGCGTTTTTTTGGACATAGTGGAAATTTGGTGTGAATGACTCATGTTTTAATTTTCTCCCCAGGTTTTCCAGCAATTCAAAATAACCTCACTAAAGTTGGAGATGTTACAAAGGAACTCTTTCTGAGTAAGAAATAAACTTCTTAGATGGACCCTTTTACTACTGCTCATTTTTTGTCCTCAGGAAAGTTAATTTTTAAAAGTTTTGTTAGTTAGGTAAATACTTTGTTTAGCTTTTAGTGTCAACCAATTACAGTCATTACTAGTATCTGCAGTGGATAACTGTCATCTTAACTGTTAAAAACCCAAAGTTTTGCCTTTTCTTAAGAGCGCTGAGGAGAAACCCTTTGAATATTAGGAGTATCACTCTTATGTTTAGTTTAATAAATGAAAGGAATAATCTAAGGTGGCTAGCATAATTAAATCAAGGTTTTCAGTACCTTAGGTTACACACAAAACTTGACATACAGCAAATACAGGTGCTGTATTCAGTTTTTTACTGCAGAGGTCTTATATAAATTATTTCCCCATTGGATTTCTTTAGAGCGTTTCCATGCTATGAAGTCTTGTCCTGGTACGTATTATATCATTGTAGTGGAGGATACAGAGCTGGCAAAAATTGTGGCGTGTGGAACACTTTTCATAGAGCAGAAGTTCATTCATGAAATTGCTATAGTATGTATCTTTATACTTAGGTGAAGTCAATACTATTGTTGTGGTACTCTACAGTTGAACTTCCATTTAAGCAGCCACCCTCTGGGTGCTGGTAGGTAGGCAGTCAACTTAGAGATCAGTCAGAAATTAGCATAATCATTAGCAGAAGCAAAGAAAATGTGCGTTATCATTCAATAACTATTATAGAGACAGTGAAGGTGGCAGTCTGGCCAAGTTGTTAAAGTGTAGTGGACTGGAATTTCAGTTCAAATCCTGCTCTCACTCCATGCTGGATTTTTTCTTGGATGTCCCAAGTTCAGTTATTCTGCGACACACTTGCCAATAGCTACCATGTATAAAAATTCTTTTTTTTTTGTATGCAGAAATGGCTGTCTATAAATGCTCAACAATATCTTCAAGTTTTATAGTATGCATTAAGAGTATTTCAAGTACAGGAAGCAATTTATATGATAGCCCACAGTCCATCCCTGAATAGTGGGAATACAACAACAATTTCCAGCAAGCTGGGCCAGGCTGATCAAGTCACATAACATTTCATTCCACTGTGAACAAGGCTTTAGAAGAGCCAATAGCTCACACATTTTAATGTTCTCTCTGCCACTGTAGAGAAGAATAATTATTAATGCAATCTTTGAAGTTTAGGTGTTTTTTTGTTGTTGTTGTTGTTGTGCTTTGTTTTGATTATCATTATTTAGAAAGCATGGTATGCTGAGGCCTTTACTGTGTTTTGTTCTCAAAATATCTAAATTGTTATTATTAACAGCGAGGGAGAGTTGAAGACATTGTCGTTGATGACAGCTGTAGAGGGAGAGGACTTGGAAAACTGTAAGTACAGTCAAACCTCTGCTTATAGACACTTTCCATGAGTAGTCATTTCTAACCTTGAAAAGCTGCTGCCAATGTTTTCTATGATTCCAAGGGTGTCTGTTTTCAAGAGGTTCTTTTTGTTATACTACTAACCGCCACCTGGTTAGCTCAATTTGTTAAGCACTGGTCTGTTTAGGAGTAGCCTGTTCCAGGCTCTGAGGTAGTTGAGTCTGCGGGTCGAGAAAACGCAAACGTGAAAATAAAATGGGAGGAAGCTGGGCAGAGGAAGGGCGGCACAGCCTGTAATCATTTCTTTAAACGGCTTGTTCCGGTATACCAGCTGCTGGTATACCCTCTGATTGGTCAGATTTGACTGGTTATATTAACACTTCTCAATGCAGATCGTTTCTGTCACTCAGAAAGATGGCATGTGGCATGCACACACGTTATATAGAGGAATCCACAATAACTTCTATGTTCACACATAGGAGCGTTGAGGAAGGAACAGAAGACCTGCCTTGTGAACTTGGCATGTAGAAAAGATGTTTTTGCAATCCTGCTGACTGGCTCCATCAAAAGCTTGATATTTCAGCTGTATCCATGTTTGGAAAGACTCACATTATCTTTAGAAAGACAAGCTGTAGTTTAAAAACCATTGCATAAAATAATAATAATATTATTATTAATAATAAAGTCTTTATTCATCAAAAGATAAAAATATATATCTTTTGTTACAAGTAAGTGTAAGAAATTTCAAAAAGGTAAAAAGTAATAAATAAGAAAAAAATAGTATATTACATGGCTAATTCATAATTAAAGAGCAATCATGACTAAGTCACAATGCAATTCTCCATTAGTTTCTTCAGTTTCCAATCCGGAATTTAAACTCGGTAAATTACTATCTGTAAGAATTTTAAAACATCCTGTAAAAAATACTAATGGGCTGTGTCCAGCATGACAAAACATTGCAGGATACCATCACATTCACGGACAAAAGAAAATTAGTTATTTAGAACCAGGAGGCACTTTGGAGAAAATTAAACAACCGAAAACCCTTATTTGGCGGCATTGAAGAACTTAATGTTTCAAAAGAGGCCAAAGAAAATGCTCTTGCATCATGCAGAGGGCAAATCATGTCAACCAGAAACAATAACTACAAAAAAAAACATTATGTGTGTCACGACCTCTCAGCATGAAACAAGCAGCAGAAATTACATTTGTTCAGTTAAAACATAGAACCCTCCAGACCATAATCTACCCACCAGAAAAAAATTTATTGGAACAAGAAGCATTTGGTACTCATGAGGTATTAGTCGTGTGTTGCCTACCGACCCCCTTTATAGCCAGGGTTGTCAGAAAGTTTTCAAGTAGACGACTGAGTTGTCAAAGTAAGCATCCAGTCCAGGGATATTTTATTTAAAAATTGCCATCAAAATAAATGCCAAGCAGAGTAGCGGGCTGATACTAACCAAGTAGGTGGCGATTTTCGCCGGCAGCCGTCTACTTTTGACAACCCTGAATTAGCCGTGCACAAAATACTCACGTGAGAAATTTGAGAAAGAATCCAACTCATTGACATTTCAAATGTTTGACAGCTGAAATCTAATTATCTCAAACATGCCAAAAGTGAACAAAAGAGGGTCATGAAAGAAATGATTACAGGCTCTATTTCCCTTCCTTTTTCCCGCCCTGGCCCCCTTTTCACGTACCTTTCACTGGTTGGACCAACATTCATGATGTTGTTGATGATGATGATGATGATGATGATGATGAAGGTGATGATAATGGTGATGATGATGATGATGTGGATTCCGAAGTAAATGCATCCACATCATAAAGTACATTCTCTAATTTAACGAAAGATACCAACACAAAATTCTCTATGTTGTCTTCCAGGGTTGTTGAGACCTTGCTGTTACTCAGTGAGAAGTTAGGATGTTACAAGACCAGTCTTGAGTGTAAAGATCCTCTGCTTCCTTTTTACAGTCAGTTTGGATTCAAAAAGGAGGATCAGCAAAACTATCTTTGTAAACGGTTTTTTCATTGAGACGTCAACAAACAAATGCTCATGGCATTACTAACATCTCAGCAAATGCTCTTCTTAGGAATTCTGGTTAGCCTGTGACAGGAAAGAGAAATGTTCTTTTCTCAGCTTGCTTTACTGAACAGTCTTCTCACAACTCAACTGTTTTCTTTTTTCAGTATAATACCTGAAAGGGGACCCCTTCATACACAGGTGAAATAAATTTTACAGTCTCAATGGGAGGGCAGATCAGACAAAACTAAACCTCTTAAGTTTATCTGTGAGCCAGTGCCAAAATGTAAAAAAACATGTTGTGTTCAAATCACAAAATGTTTTTGTTACGTGTACTTTGAATTGAAAAAAAAGTAAAACTTTTTAGGTTATGGGCACTTTATATGCACTAGGCATGACTTAGATACAATAATGCAGGATTTTACCAAGTATGGTATGTTTCACCATCTGCAAATTAGGTTTACTCAGTGCTTTTTAAATGATTAACAATTTAAAAATTGTTTAAAAAAATTCTTACAGAAAAAGACACAAATGAATTTTATTCATGCAGTGGCATCGGTCAAATTAAATTATCATCATTAGTATTATTTGCTGGATATATTTTAAGAGAAGATAACAGGGGTATTTATAGTTAAAAAGTATGCTTGCAGAAACAGTGGTGAAAAATATCGGTTCCCACTGTTTTCCAATCCTTATCACCACTGGAAAGTTGTATATTTTATTAAAATCATAATAATATAATATTTTTGGCTTACTGGTGTTTTGAGGAACTATTTTAAGAGTTATTAAATTAACCTTTTTTCCAGAGACTGCTATAACGTGGTTCAAATGGTATTTCCTAGGGTACTGGTATTAACTGTTTGTGGGTGTGCAAAGTAATGGTAATTATTCTGAAAATTTCCAATGTTATTGTAGGGAAACTTCTGTTCAAAATACTGTGCTACTAGTGATTGGCATTTTATGCAATAGATTACTTTCATGATAATAAAATCATGTCAATTGGAAATGAGAAAAAAAGGAAATAATGAATTATATATTAGTTAAATAGCTTATGGCTACAGTACAGGAAAAGGATTACTGATATCTTGTTGTAAATAGTTCTGGGACAGTGGTAATTAAAATTGCAGAGTTTCCATGTGAATGCAATCTGTGCTGTGGCTTTTACTATTTGAAATTCAGGATGTCACAATTGTCACAATTATTTGTGGCCACTGAAAGAACGTAATTGTTTCAGCAATTATTTGTGATGTGTGACATGGTCACACTTTTTTTTACATATGAATGTAATTTTGCAGAGGGGTATATAGGGGAATCATTGTCTTTGGCGCAGTCAGAACGTTTCACATAAGTAAGGTAGGATAATGAGCTGGTCTTATAAAATATTAGTTAACATTCACACTAATAAATACTTTAATTTATTAATCATGTTCATCCATACTTTGTACAGGAAATAAATTATTAATACCATATGAACAAATGATTGAACCATAATCTGACAGAGAAGTCACTAACATACAATGTAAACATTAATTAACTTACGTGTACTTCAGACCTTACTGATGTATTTTTTTTTTCTTTTAAATCATTACAATAGAACTTTCTGGGAGAAAGTGACATCTCATTTAAACAATAAATAACACAAAGTGCCTAGAGATCAGTAATAAATTTTATCATTTTTCTCAGTTGTCAAATAACAACTGTTCTAGAGAGCAACAACTGTTTTATGTTGGACTAATGTCTTAAATCTTCTCGATTTTCTCTTTTCTCTTTAAAATAATAAAACTTTCCTTAAAACTAAAAATAGCTCTAGTTTTGACAAATTAAGGACTATAAACTCAAATTGTTTCTTCAATAGAAAGTGCATGTAGTTATATTATAACAACCTTTTAAAAACATAAAATATGTACTTGTAACCGGTAAAAATATTGTTACTTTAACTGAGACATTAAAAAGCAAAATGCAGAAATGGCAGACAGTAAAAAGAAACAAGCTTTTACCCTACACCATATTTTAATTTTTCTCCATGTTTTTTCTACATTATGTAATTTAGGAAGGTTTCACCCACGATCATCAGTGAAAGTACTAGTAATATCGTATTCATTTTTGTCATTTGTCAAATGGTGAATTTTACTTCAAATGTAGGGGTACAAATTGCTGCTCATCATCAAGGGAGGGCTGACTGAACACTTAACTTCACCATTACTAGTTACAGGGTTCGTACAGAGTCTTGAATTCTTGAAAAAGTCTTGAAATTTGTCCAGCAAGTTTCCAGACCTGGAAAAAGTTTGGAAAATAGAGATAAAGTCTTGAAAAACGATAAAAAGTCAAGGTTTTTTTTTTGAAAGCTACAACAAGTGTTTTATAAAGGACATTTTTTTCGTTTTGCTCAAATCTTACTCAGTCTTCAGTGCCTGTATGTTTGCAGTGCATCATAAAAAAAGCTTTGTTCCTGCTGTTTTTTTAAGGTCTCGAATTATAACCACTGGAAAAAGAAATTATTGTTTTGGAAAAAGTCTGGGAAAAGTCTTAAATTTTGCATCCAAAAATCTGTACGAACCTTGTGGTTACTTCATTAAATGACAATCACTTGTTGAACTCATCATTTGTTTCAATTAATATTGCATTAATCAGTTGTGACAATTTTGTTTTCTAATTTCAAAACATTTCATGCCTGGCCAATATCATGAAAACAGCATACTTTGAATGTTGATCATGATGACCTCACTCCCTATGCAGAAAAGATTAAGGATTTAGGTACAAAGGATTAAGTACAAAGTGTTATTTTCTTCACACTTTATAAATTAAATTATCTACACTTAACGATAGCAATTAAATAATTATATTTAAAATAAAATATAAACTAGTTAAAATTATAATAACAGTATCTTAAAAATAATTTAATATAGTAATAATTTAGGGCACCATTTTCCCTTAACATTTTAAGTATCACTTGCTGTTATTGTAAGCATCTTCTGGAGGCTCAAGCCCAGTATGCAATGTAATTTGTACATTTCGACTTAAACTAAATGCTGCATAGAAAGCTTCTGGGATATCTGGCAATCGCATCATCCCTCTTTTCTGATCATTCAAGTAAAAAGTCACTTTGTGATTAGGAATGTCCAATAGCACTCCAATAACAGATCCAACATCTACTCCACCATCACGGCGATTGGAATGCTCATTGTTATGGCGGAACCAACTGCGACTGCTATCAATGTACATGCACCATGCTTTGTCATCTTTACCAAGAATGGAGTCTTTGATGGTACTGCCCAGTGCCACACCAACAGCGGGATCTGGGTTTCCATCATACCTATCTATGGTAACTTCCCAATAATGGCAGCCTCGTGAGAAACCAATGTTACCGAGAACAACTCTGTCGTCAAAGCTGGTACATGTTGTGGTGGTGTTGTCATTAGTCAAGACTATGTCTGGGTGGGCAGTAGAGGGATCCAGTGCAAACCATGCGACTGTAGGTAACAAGCAAACAACATTTAATTTGGGTACTTGTAGTTAATAAGTTGTCTCAGAGCAAAATCTATATCTCTGTTAGAAAGGGGTTTGGCAGGTAACTCCATCATCCTCTAACTTCTTAATTAACTTGCATCTGTCATTGGGCTTCTGATTGTGGGAGATCTGGGTACATTATTACCATCCCTCAATAATTTCAGAATCCAGATTAGCTTAAGGTGCACATCTTTTCTTTTTTGTGTTCACAAAGATTAACCTGACTGAAAATGGCACACAACTTAGGAAAAGTCATGTTACCAAGGTCAGCCACAACAATTACAGAGTACAGTATTTTAATTACTGGTTATTTCTTGGATTTAAGTTAATGGTAATTTACTTATGCTAGCAAACATTTACCAAATTTGGGACTTCAACACGATGCTCAGAAAAAGGAGAAATAAAATTTTTATAAATGAAAGTGGTCTGCTTACTGTCAGATGTGGTGAGGTAGACCTCGTCACTTGGAGCTCCCTCTCCAGCTTTATTGAACCCTTTAACTCTGGCCCTGTACGTCGAGTTAAACTGAAGACCAGATATGGTACACTCCAAATTATCACCTCTGTAAACCTGCAAAAAATTGTCCTCTTTGCCGCTTGATGTACCATCATCAACTTCAACCACATATCCATCAACACAGCTTTGTTTACGTGGTTTCCAAGACAATTTTATAGCATTGTTTGTGACAGTACATTTGTCTGGAATTATTTCTGGGGCCATTGGAGCTGTGAAACAAAGTAAACAGTGTCATATTGTTACCAAGTGTATATTTTAAAACAGAAAGGCTGAGACAGAAGTTGGGATTTCCAGCAGCTGACTTGAAGAAAGTATATTGAATAATCCCAGAATCACATAATTTAAAAAATTCTAGCATGTGTCACTTGAATCATTCAAGGCCACATTTTTTTTAGTCACATAAAACTATAATACTTAACAGTCAACTCTCTAAAATCTACTCTGCTGTTGAGACCATCATTTATGTCCGTCTTAGAAACTGCTGTATCTGCCCTTAACAGAAGGGTAAGCTAGGGGAGTCCAAATCTTACAGCCCTTTTTCAATAATATATTGTAAAATATTAAACATTGTTGTGTAATTACCCTTTAATTCTCCTGCTTCCCACCCTTTTAGAAGTCTCCCACCTCTTACCCTTTCCTCTCCCCCCTTCCATATCCCTTTTCTCTAAGGCTCCAACTCCCAATCCTCCCTTACTAGTGAGACCAACTGTAGGTGTCAATGTTAGGGAGGGGGGACCTGTAAGTCGTATATAAGCATGTTTATTTAGGAAGAGTTGACTTATAATTGGTGGTTAAGAGTTTGTATGCACTCACCTTTAAGCTCAATAAAGTGCAGATCATGAAGAGCCTGTTGCACAGCTACTGTGTCTAGAGTCAGGTCAAGCTCTACCTTTGTGCTTGGCTCCAGGTTTACTTCCTTTGACCATTGATTGGCAAGGCTTGTAATTCTGACATAAAATTCACTTTACATTAAAGACAAAACAGGTGCTTTTACTTCCAAAAAAGACAACTTAATGGAAATAAATGTAAAACAATATTTTAGAAATTATATCTTTTTTTATTAAAATAGTTTTATTAGTTGTTTGTATATGTGTACTCACCTGCTATTTAAAGAGTTTGCAACCTAAAAATAAAAATAAATGATCATAATTATCTCAAATTCTTGGCATTTAACAATATGTTACTCTTGCCTCTTTATACACATGCAGCTACTTAATATTTGGATCCATCTATTTGGCCACTGATGAAGTACAGCATGTCATTAAATAAAGCATTATTATGTGTGTATGCAGTGCTAACCATTAATTTTAGCCCAAATTGTTACCAAAGACGCCTTTAACTATCAATAATTATCTTAATAAAATTAATTCATCGTGACTAGTCCAGGGAAAAATACAGTTGAACCTGTCCACAAAAGCCACCTTGGGGACAGAAGAAATTGGCCTTTGTAGAGAGGTTTAAACATGAGTCAATGTATGGACTGTGCCAGAAAAAGNATTAATTCATCGTGACTAGTCCAGGGAAAAATACAGTTGAACCTGTCCACAAAAGCCACCTTGGGGACAGAAGAAATTGGCCTTTGTAGAGAGGTTTAAACATGAGTCAATGTATGGACTGTGCCAGAAAAAGTGGCTGTTGTAGAGCACAGGCCATTGTGGAGTGATGGCCATTATAGTGGAGGTTTGACTGTATTAGTACAACCTCCTCCAAGGTAGAGACCCTCACCCACTCCCTTAGGTTCATGAGCACTTTCAGGGTGAAGTTGATAGTTGATCAGTCTTACCAACAGGAAGGAAGCAGCATCTGTTTCTTGTAAACACTCATTACCATACTGAAGAAGACCAGCAACACTTTGGAACTTTTTCTCGCAAGTTTTCATTTGTTCTTTCAACTTTTGGATCTTTAAGTTCATCTCCGCCGTGATAGCTTCAATTAATCCCAATTTGCGTTGTTGAATAAAGCTTATCAATGCATCACACTGCGCTACAACACTGGCCTCAAATTCCAAACCATTTTCCTAGAACAACAATACTTTATTTTAGATCTGCTAGATAACCACCGTTGCAATATTGGGTGGCCTGTGTAAGTTGGAATGCATTTGGTTCAATGTGAGAAGAACAAAAAAAATTTTTTAAAGAAGAAATTACCACCAGTTGGAAAATTTTATGAAGGGTGCTAGCTCAAAGAAGCACAGGTACCCCAACCTTCGAATGCGAGCTATATCCAGCCTTTGAATTGAAATGGAGAATCACAATGCTTTTCTGTGCCATGAAAATGAAAAGAGTTATTAAATTTCGCTGTTCATATATACAAGCAATTACACCAACAAGTACCGGTAAAACAAAATTCACTGATATGAGGTAAAATGCCTTTGATGAATCTTTTTCATCTGTGATGTCCATATATTAGAGGCTGACAAATATATATAAACCATACTTATTTACTTGGCACAGAAAAGCATATGGTGCTCAAAGTACAATCATGTACAATGTTTGATACAAAGCTCTCCAAGCCTGGGTTACCTGTGCAAGAAGACTGTACAATTTTTTTACCTTAGGTAAATCATTTTTACCTGAATAACTGAGCAATTCCCATTCAGTTGTTGGATGAAGTTCCTTAATTCGCTGTTCTTCCCATCCAGTAACTTCATATTTGCCAAAAGTTCACCCTGAATCGAAATGATTACATTTCAATTACTGACTGAGATTTACACTAAACTACATTTATTTAGTAATAATGTTTAGCGCTGCTGTTGGTCAAATTTTAGCCTCAAATCAGCTATGTACCGGTTTTTGCAGTGCTCAGGTTTTTTTCTTCTTCTTCTTCTTTTTCACAGGAAGTTGTTATGCAAAAAACAGTATGTTACATTAGGTCCAATAAAAATGGAGGGATGTTAAATATTGTCAAGACCTTATTTTTGTATCATGTTTTCAACACATGCAATAGCTAGATCAGTATTCTTTACACCCTAAAATGAAAACATTTATATTTTATTTATGCACGACTCGTTGCACTATGTCTTCTCCCATATAATTATTTCTGTGCAAGCAGAAAAATAAACACTGAAATTTCTGATACAATCAAGATGGCCCTCTAGGGGATAAAAGCCTTGACAAAGCATTCATATCAATTTTCAGTGCAAGTTTGTAATCCGATACATTTTGACTGCTAAAAAGACACTTCTACTCTGAATAATTAACTTTGCAAGTGTTATCACAAAAATTACATTTTGTACACCAAATAACTTGAGCAATGATTTTTGGGATAGTATAAGCTTTTTTTGTAAAAATCATTAGTTTTGAAAAAAAACGTAAAACAAAATTGACACGTTGATTTTGTTTTTTCTTCAAGCAAGAACCAGCGTACTGCACCGTGTCTCCTAACAAATAATATTGTATTCTGTTCAAACAGAAAAATGAAAACTGAAATCTCTGATACATCAAGATGGCCAGCTCCTAGGGTATAACGAGCACTATGAATACAAAAAGTTTAATATCAAATTTCTGCGGCAGTTTAATTCTGGTATTAGACTGCTAAAAAGACACTTCTTCTCTGAATATGACCTTACAATCATGATCACGAAAGGTACATACGGTATTTCAAGGAAAGCCATTTTTTATTTTTTTTTTAATCTTACATATCAAAATTTTTGGGAAAAAATAATAAAACAAAAAAATAATCTCATTTCCTTTTTATGACGCCTTAAAAAACGATATTATGCTTCAAAAAAAGAATGTCAAGGGATCTCTATTTTCCAAAATTTTCACTCACACGGGCATTAATTAAATATTCACATCAAGCGATATTTGCATATGCCAGCCAAGATCTAGCTCGCAAAAAGTTCAACTCTGCCTTACATTTAAGATTAAATTCATAAAGAGCTACAGTGTAGCGAATTAATCATCGACTTACATACCGAGGCCTAATTTGGTCAGAAATGAAATCAACACGGGGTACACGATGGAACGTTTTTAAAAATCAATTTCGTGCGCACCCTAAGTACATCAAAAATTATTTTATACACTTCTAAGTACAATGACAGATCGCCGAGGGGAAAGACAAAATGCAAATTTTAGGCATCCCCTACCTTCTCCTCTTTGAACATCGCACCTAAAGCCTTAACTTCGTGTCCGCTGTGCTGTCCTCGCTCCAAACACACATAACACACAGGAACGCGACAGAAGACACAGTACATGCTTATGTTTTCTTCGTTGTGATTCCCGCATTTAAGAACTGTCGGCTTGTGCGGTAATTTTGACCTCGAAGGGGCGACAAGGGAATGTTTCGCGAGTGGTCCACGGCTAGGATGACAGGTTTTACAGCAGCGATCGCAATAAGCAACTTCACATTGTTCACACATTACACTAGCCTGGGAAGGTTGGTTTTCGTCGCAAAGTTGACAATAAACAATTCCATTAGATTTTGCATAAAAGCGATTGACAATATTTTCCAAGAGGTGGTTTCGCGGAAAACTGCTCACCCCTCGGCTGTCAAGAGGAAAGAGCTTTTTACACGTTGGACACCTTAAGCAGGGAAGATTTCCGATGCTTTGGTACAAGTGGTTTGTATTCACGTCATACAAAGTAACGTAAGGTGTTTCTTCGCTACCATTTCCAGAAGTCGGAAGATCTCCACTGGCGGTGGTCACCAGTGTTTGCGAACAACTCAAGCAAACGCTGTGAGAACAAGGAAGGACGATAGGGCTGACAAACGGCTTTTTACAAACTGGACAAGTCAATTCTGCCTCCATTTTATCGGATTTTTTTTGACTCCCAACTTGTTTTACGCCGCGAGAGAAGTGAAAAACACAGTTTGTTGGTTTTCATGCACCAACATATTAGCGCCAAATTAGCACGTGCCAGTTCCGCGATGCGGATTGGATGATATTTTTAGCAGGATAATCTGATTGGTTCCTTATTTGTTTTCTTGTTGACATGATCCAGCTGCATTTGAAATTTCTTTCAGAGGAAACCTCCCTCATTGATCCCTATAAAATATGGAAAACCAGCATTAAAAATAAATATTTGTACTTTCAATTTAGCATATAACGCCGTTGATTTAATAAACGACGTTGACCTTAGATGGAACAAGACATTTGCATAATATGTTCGGTGAATATAACAATCGATTTTCTCTGTGTGAGCTGTGGCAATTTTAACAATAAAAGAATTAAATTTTCAAACGCAGCCTCAGATGAGGCAAATTATTTTTTATTGATACACGTGCCATTGCTTAACATTACAATGGCGGCATGCTCCTATTCAAAACATCACAAAGGGGATTAAAATAAAGAAACAAAAAGATTGAGCAGTTTAAACATCATAATTTTGCCACACGCAGTGAAAGAAACATTTGTAACCCGCTAATTTATCTGCCAAGAAATCGAAAGAAACCTTAAAGCAGACCTTTTTTTCTTTTTTCAAAGAATTCATACCCTTCTCTTTAGAAAACTTCAAACTTGTATTCATGCGACGCTTTCAACAAGATTTTTCAAGGGCTCTAAGCTGGGTCGAATTTATGTCCCCTTAAAATCTGCTTCCAGCCACTGAATAAAACTCTTCCCTAACTTACACAGCTTTTGACACAAAATTCATGCGGAAAGAACTAAAACCAAACATATACCATAACGTCAAGTTTTCTTTGTTTGTTCTCACGGTTTTTGAGCTCACGATAGAGAAAAAGAGCTGAGAAGGGCGGCCGGATCCAAAAGAAAATCTCTTCTTCAAAGTACACTTCAACCTCCTAATATAAAAACTCTACACGTCTCAGTGATAATTTCTTTCATTCTCAATGTGCACTCCCAAAAATTAGCCAAAAAAACTCACAGAACACGACAGAAATTGTTTCTTTATTGTCCTTTTTGCCAGATGGAAGATCTTGAAAGTGTCTTGACAATCAACTGCACGTGTTCTTGTAAAATATATGAGCGTGCCACTGCGTAATAATTTGCCAAAGGACACGCGTGTGAAACTCAAGGATCGCGCGTGTTCCTGTGCTAACCGTTCGATCCGATTGCTACCAAGGTTACTATCTCAATTGACAACAAAGTCCTTTTTGTCGTGTCTGTAGCAAACAGTCGCCTCCCTTAGTAATGGAGTTGGAATTAACCTGCCCTGTTTGTTTAGATCTGTTCCAAAGACCTGTCGTTCTGCCATGTTCACATAATCTTTGTACACCATGTGCCAGGAAAATCTTGGAGCCTCACGGAACTCCCAAAGCCTGGGCCAAGTGGGTGAAAGAAAACCGAACCCCGGAGTACAAATCTCATTTAGACCCCAATGTTAAATGCCCAACATGTCGACAGAGAATTCCCGTTGATCCGATAGGGGTCGATGGACTGGCAAGGAATCTTATTTTGGAAAATGTCATTGAACGATTTAAGGAAGAAAGGAAAGCGCCAGGTAACATTGTTGATACAATGTAGTTGTGATTTATTCTACACTACATTGAATATATATATTTTTTTAGTGTTCCATTTACATAAGATTCTACACCATACTTCTAGCACGAAAAGTCGTTTCTGTTATTTTAGACTCCGACTTTGTGCAAATGAAGTTAAATAGCGAAATTTTGAGCGATGAAATATTTCGCGCGAACATATTTTCGTATTTTCAGGACACAAAAAACAAGACTTTTCAAAGCAAAGTGCCAGCTTGACTGTAACAACTTTCAGTGCACAGCCTGAATGTTTGGAGTATTTGTACAATCAAAAATGTTGAGATGGAATGTTTTCATGCTGAACGGTCCTGAGTAGAAATTCAATCGCTTTTGGAAAGTGTAAAACAGAACTATTATTTTGATTTTAATAATTGATTTACATTGGTTTTATANACCATACTTCTAGCACGAAAAGTCGTTTCTGTTATTTTAGACTCCGACTTTGTGCAAATGAAGTTAAATAGCGAAATTTTGAGCGATGAAATATTTCGCGCGAACATATTTTCGTATTTTCAGGACACAAAAAACAAGACTTTTCAAAGCAAAGTGCCAGCTTGACTGTAACAACTTTCAGTGCACAGCCTGAATGTTTGGAGTATTTGTACAATCAAAAATGTTGAGATGGAATGTTTTCATGCTGAACGGTCCTGAGTAGAAATTCAATCGCTTTTGGAAAGTGTAAAACAGAACTATTATTTTGATTTTAATAATTGATTTACATTGGTTTTATTCTGTTACAAGAGTGATACACTAGTGAGTGTCATTAATTATATAACATGATATGGTTCTTCCCGAAACTAAAAGTGAAACATAGTTCAAAGCCAGAGAAAAGTGCCCTGGGGACGAGGTTGCCATCAGCGATCTGGCGATAATTGTAAAACATGCACATATTGGACTCAAGTTTGAGGTGAAAAAAAAAGCCACTTCTCTATGTTGCTTGCCGGTTCGATTCTAAACTGAATGGCCAGTCTTAGGCTCTGTCCACGCTCGTTTGAAAACGCATACATTTCGATGCGTTCAGGGCTACCATCCATACTAATGCGCTGAGCGTTCACATCGATTTGAAAGCGCTATTGAAAGTGAATCAAAACGAAAACGTATAAACATAGTGTCAGTGTGTTCGGTCGGTAACGCAAAAAACGAAAACAATAACCGAAAAATATCACAGGCGGGTGTGTTTGTAGCATGCACATAGAGTTCATCATAACGTCACAGCGTGCAATGTTATCGTTTTCGAACGTTTTAGTGTGGACAGTCGAAAGCGCATCAAAAGGGTATAGTGTGGACGTGAATCGATCGTCGAAAACGCATACTATTGAAAACGCTTTAGTGTGGACAGGGCCTCAGTATCCAATCTGTACCTTTCAACTTTTGATCAAGCAAGTTATTCAATAAAACAAATAACGAAAAAAATCCCGGTAAGCTGCGTTGCAATTTAGAAAGTTAGTGATCCTATTAACGGAAATCAGAAGTTTAGTGAATGTTTAATAAACATTTTCTGAGCTGTACAATAGAAGCTTAAAGATTGAGTGGTCCCCTTTTTCCTGTGTGTTAAACACTGAGCAAACCGTTCGTTAGATCCTGTCCACGCTAGGAAGAACAAGAACTCAGGAAAATTGATTGGCTTGACAAGAAGCAAGGCGCGGCGTAACGCGATGAAAGACATTTAACGGTAATTCTGGGCTTGTTGTTACATTGCGCTTAGTACATTAAGGTACGTTAAGTTACACTGCATGACATTCCATTGTGTTATGTTGCATAACTCCCTTACAGGTGAAACACCCGAGGAGCCTCTCCTGTGTCAATTTTGTGAAGACTATTCTCCCCAAAGGGCTACTTTGTCGTGTAATGAATGTACGTTCATGTACTGTGGGACCTGTTTTGACGCGTGTCATCCCAGCAAGGGCCCTCTGGCTGATCACTCCATAGGCCCACCGGTAGCAAGGCCCGTAAAACGAAAAGAGACAAGCCTACAATGCCAGCAGCACACTGATGAAAAGTTAGCTTTGTACTGCGTTGACTGCAAGATGCCTGTGTGCTATCTATGTAAAGAATATGGAAAACACAAGGGTCACAAGGTGGAATTGCTGGAGCCTATTTTTAGAAACTCAAAGGTAAAAAGCTCCTATATCATAACAGAGAGTTTTCTGGCTCCTGGCCTGCGTTGCAAATGTGATCAACCCCGGCTAGTAAGACAAAGACTATTAGACACCTGACGGACTGACGTAAAGGGAGACAATCGTATGACAGCTGACTCTCCCTCGCCCCCTTTAACAGGGCAACAAAAAGGTGGGGAAATGAACGTCCGAATATCGACACCCTTCGGGCCCTTGTCAATCTCCTCGTCACATGCTACAACATTATATTCATTTTCACATGTGATGCTATGCTACAGACTTTAATTACAGTTTTTTTTTGTCAAAACTAGGAAGAATTGGCTCGGCTATTGGGAACACTCACTAGGAAAAATTATCAAGTTCAAAAGTCATTGCAGTCCTTAGAGGGCATGTGCACTGTTGCCAAGGTAAGTTAACCTTATTTTAATAAGTCGATAGGATTGTATAGCGAAAAGATACAGTAACAGTAAAATCACTCACAATGGACACCAAGTTGAATTTTCAGGACACAAAAAACAAGACTTTTCAAAGCAAAGTGCCAGCTTGACTGTAACAACTTTCAGTGCACAGCCTGAATGTTTGGAGTATTTGTACAATCAAAAATGTTGAGATGGAATGTTTTCATGCTAAACGGTCCTGAGTAGAAATTCAATCGCTTTTGGAAAGTGTAAAACAGAACTATTATTTTGATTTTAATAATTGATTTACATTGGTTTTATAAAATTCTGTTACAAGAGTGATACACTAGTGAGTGTCATTAATTATATAACATGATATGGTTCTTCCCGAAACTAAAAGTGAAACATGGACTCAAGTTTGCAGTGAAAAAAAAGCCACTTCTCTATCTCGCTTGCCTGTTCGATTCTAAATTGAATGGCCAGTCTTAGGCCCTGTCCACGCTCGTTTGAAAACGCATACATTTCGATGCGTTCAGGGCTACCGTCAATACTAATGCCCTGAGCGTTCACATCGATTTGAAAGCGCTATTGAAAGTGAATCAAAACGAAAACGCATAAACATGGTGTCAGTGTGTTCGGTCGGTAACGCAAAAACCGAAAACAATAACCGAAAAATATCACAGACGGGTGTGTTTGTAGCATGCGCATAGAGTTCGTCATAACGTCACAACGTGCAATGTTATCGTTTTCGAACGTTTTAGTGTGGACAGTCGAAAGCGCATCAAAACGGCAGTGTGGACGTGAATCGATCGTCGAAAACGCATACTATTGAAAACGCATTAGTGTGGACAGGGCCTTAGTATCCAATCTGTACCTTTCAACTTTGGATCAAGCAAGCTATTCAATAAAACAAAAAACGGAAAAAATCCCAGTAAGCTGCGTTGCAATTTAGAAAGTTAGTGATCCTATTAAGGGAAATCAGAAGTTTAGTGAATGTTTAATAAACATTTTCTGAGCTGTACAATAGAAGCTAAAACATTGCGTAGTCCCCTTTTTCCTGTGTGTTAAACGCTGAGCAAACCGTTCGTTAGATCCTGTCCACGCTAGCAAGAACAAGAACTCAGGAAAATTGATTGGCTTGACAAGAAGCAAGGCGCGGCGTAACGCGATGAAAGACACTTAACGGTAATTCTGGGCTTGTTGTTACATTGCGCTTAGTACATTAAGGTACGTTAAGTTACACTGCATAACATTCCATTGTGTTATGTTGCATAACTCCCTTACAGGTGAAACACCCGAAGAGCCTCTCCTGTGTCAATTTTGTGAAGACTATTCTCCCCAAAGCGCTACTTTGTCGTGTAATGAATGTACCTTCATGTACTGTGGGACCTGTTTTGACGCGTGTCATCCCAGTAAGGGCCCTCTGGCTAATCACTCCATTGGCCCTCCTGTAGCAAGGCCCGTAAAACGAAAAGAGACAAGCCTACAATGCCAGCAGCACACTGATCAAAAGTTAGCTTTGTACTGCGTTGACTGCAAGATGCCTGTGTGCTACCTGTGTAAAGAATATGGAAAACACAAGGGTCACAAGGTGGAATTGCTGGAGCCTGTGTTTAGAAACTCAAAGGTAAAAGGCTCCTATATCATAACAGAGAGTTTTCTGACTCCTCGCCTGCGTTGCAAATGTGATCAACCCCGGCTAGTAAGCCAAAGACTATTAGACACCTGACGGACTGACGCAAAGGGAGACAATCGTATGACAGCTGACTCTCCCTCGCCCCCTTTAACAAGGCAACAAAAAGGTGGGGAAATGAACGCCCGAATATCGAAACTCTTCGGGCCCTTGTCAATTTCCTCGTTACATGCTGCAGCATTATATTCATTTTCACATGTGATGCTAAGCCACAGACTTTAACTACAGTTTTTATTGTCAAAACTAGGAAGAATTAGCTCGGCTCTTGGGAACACTCACTAGGAAAAATTATCAAGTTCAAAAGTCATTGCAATCCTTAGAGGGCATGTGCACTGTTGCCAAGGTAAGTTAACCTTATTAATAAGTCGATAGGATTATATAGTGAAAAGATACAGCCATAGTAAAATCACTCACAATGGACACCAAGTTGCTTAGGTAAAATCGAAAACAAGGAGAATTCTACCAAGGAGTGTCTTTTAGACCGTCCTCGGTTTTTCTTGAGGATAAGTAGCAAATTCTCAAAATGAGCGAGTTCACGCAAAAGTTAAGTTCGATCAACACCCTATTTTGTGTCCACGTCTGACCCTCAAAGTTGGCTGATCTCCGAAAAATAACTCGTTTGTAAATTATATACCCTATTAAGAGCAGACTTGTGCGAAATCATGCACCTTCTTTAGGACAGAGAGGTCAAAAACCTACCCTGTCCTGCGACACATCCTCGTAGTACCCCAACCACTACTTGCGCTTCATAGACTCACTCTCCAGCCGTAGGTGTCTCTAAGCGCCCGCAGGTGCTCCCCACCCGAGGGGAGTATCGCGGTTGCATCGATCGAGATACAGTTGACACTTTTTGAATTTATAGAAATCTGGTTGTGATGTCGAGGCTCATGTAAAAAGGGAATGTGATTCGTTAATCGCCATCATGGAGAAGAAGAAAGTTGAGCTTCTAAAGCGTGTAACTGAAGAGTACCAGGATAAACTGGACGAGATTAACAAAGCTATGCACCAGTGTGAACATGTACTACTGCAAGGTGATGGTTTAGCTGAGTTTACGCAAGAAGCTCTTAAGGAAGACAATCCTGCTACATTCCTACAGGTACGATATAAGAAGCAGTGTAGTAAGAATACGAACATGACTCGACAAAGGGTTGGAAATCGACCCTGTGAGTACATAAGTCAGTACAGGTCAGAAATACACTAAATAAGGAATTCCGTGTCCTCCTGCTTATCATCATCATCATCATCAGTATTGCTATTATTATTTTAAAAGAAAATTTCATATAGTTGATTTTTACAGAGCCTATGTTTTATCATCGCAAAAAATCTAGACGAAAATGCTGGAATGTGAATGATAAACGTAGGTATATGTACCAAACAACTGAATTGCGTTTTGCGCTTGCTCTGACTGGTGGCTAGCTCAGATGGAAAAGCATTTACTATGTACATCATAGCAACCGTTAGCGCTGACGAAGAAGAATATTGAGTTTTCCACATTGAAATGACCTGGACTGCCGCAAAAATGTCAGGAAATCAGGAAGGTCAAACAATCGACAAAGCGGGGCAAATAAATAAAAACCAAATTATTCCCCTCTAAATCGTAATGGATTAATATTTGTCATATGTTATTTTGTAGACCGCCAGTTCTCTGAAGACGAGGCTGAATCTTATGCTAGAAACAATCCGAAGTCTCCCCAGTGCCTCTTCCATCACGCCGACGTTTGATCACATGGCAGTAGACGCATCATGGGAAAGGAAAGTCCTGAAGAAGGTCACGTGGCTTCAAATACCAGGTGAAAGAAGCATAGTCTCCTAAACTGGATTGGTTGAAGTAACTAAACAAAAATAAAGAGTAATGTGAAAATACCGTGACGTGAATAACGTTTGAATGGTTAGGGTAATAGTTTTCTACCGTCGATGAATATGGCGGATTTTGCGGTTAATAGACTCTGAACAATACAAATGTTGACAGATTTTCAATATTACGAACATTTGCGCACGCAGAATAACCCTTCCTCATGTGTCTTCCCGATTCTTGAACAAAACTTCCAACGCAACTTAAGTAACTTTGTGAAAAGTTCTCCAGAAGTAGGTATGCGAATTGAAGTATTATTAATTTTTAAAAGTGGTGTTTAATTTATCAGGCAGGCCAAGTTTCGTTACATCTCAGTGTAAAGCCACAAACCGGACAGTCCAGTTGTTTTGGAGCCAGCCGCCAAACGCAGTTGATGCCTATTACTTGGAGGCCGATATTTATCCACCAAACCGAGGCCCTAACGAAAAGGAGCACCATGAAACGGTGCAACTGTCTCTAAGGAAAGCCTGTAAATATATCCTGGAGTGCCCTCATTACAACTCTAAGGTTTCAGCTAGAGTCCGTGCGTCAAACAGAGCGGGAGATGGACCTTTCAGTCAAGAAATCACTATTTATACAGACAAAGGTATTCCAAAAAAATAAGCATGCTAGAAAGATTTATTAAGATTTACACTTCTCGGGGCTGCGCATGCCCAATTCGCCACTTGAGAAACTATCGGGAAACTAGGCCGAGTTAACTTTCGCAAAGACGTCTGAGACTGTTTAGGCTAGGGACAGGGGGGAGGGGTGGGGGAAATGGCCAATAGCTGACCAGAGTGTCCCCAGTAACGATCCCAGAAAGCATTGCAGGACACATTTCGGCTCCAGTTCCCTTTTCCTTTCTAAAATGGCGAATGGTGTGACAGTGATTTGTAGTCACCTGTGGTGTCTTTTTCCTTTGCACACCATAAAAACGAGTTCATCTCCAAATAAATAGGGAATTTTTTATCGGGAGAGAATATAATGACTTTTTGAACATGAAAAACACGAACTATACGTCTTCCTGTTCTTGATTACACAAGACTCATAACCTTAATTTACCAACTGAAAATTCCGCCTTCCAAAATACCCCCGAAATGGGTAATTACATTCACAATGACAGAAGTATTGTTGAAAGTTTCTTTAGTGGGCCCTACTGGAGTGCAAATTGGACCAAACGGTCTCCAAAAAGTAAGACTATGAAGTTATTTATGGGCGACTGGTTTTAAATTGTTAAATCAGTGGACCGCACTTATAATGAGTTCCTTAGTTGTAAATTGTAATTGAGCTCTTAAGAACTCGTTTGAATGTGTCCGTGCGTTCCATATCGAATTGGAATTTGGAAATGTTGGTTTTTGACAAGAGGAGAAAACCGGAGCACCCAAAGAAAAATTTCTCGAAGGCATCGTAGCTGAGGGATTAGAGCCCCGAGTTCAAGTCCCGCCCTGACCTTTAGCTGGATTTGTTCACGGTAGTCCCGAGTTCAAATCCTCCACCACGGTTGTAAATAGTCAGCTGCTTTGCCTCAGGCCAGTTGGGATTCTTAACCTGTTATGTGTGATTTGAATTATTTGTTTCAGCCTGCTCGGCCCCACTAACATAAGTGCTTTAAATACTGCCAAGGGTAAATAAAGGAATTACTTACTTGTTTATTTATTTCGGAGGAAAAGAGAGAACCGACAAACAAACTCAACTCACATATGGCGTCGATATCGGGCTTCGAAATTCTTGGCTCCCTCGGTGGGACGAAGCGAGTGTTCTCATACCACTGCGCCACCCTTGCCCCCGCATCAACACTGTAAGCTGTTTTAACACTTTCCTTCTCAACAGGAATTAACTTCACGCTGGATCCCTCGTCAAAATTTAAACGGGAGCTTGTATTTTCTCGTGATCTCTCTGTGGCAAAATTGACAAGCCCAGTAATCACGAATGTTACGGGTGACGTGGTGCTTTCAAGCGGTTGCCATTACTGGAAAATCAGGATTGACCAGTTCGCTGGATCTGCTAACAATGGATTCGTTGCTGTTGGTGTTGCTAAAGAGTTGCAAGAAGGGACGCCGATAGGTAGGATGACATATTGAGATTTTGAGATACGCCTAATTGCAATAACGTTGTCTTAGGAAAATTGAAAAAGAAAAAAGCCAAATAGGACTAAATTAGCCTAATTAAGCCACATTCTCAGGGTGAATTCATTTTTAGCCGTTGCATTCCCCCGGCTGGAACTTTTTTAATTCTTTTTTAGCGTTAAAACAATAGCAAATTCCAACAGGCAAGTACGACGTCCAGTGCGGATGCTGCACATGTGCTATGGCATTGTAGTTGTCCTGTGATCATAAACAAACTTAGACGCCTTTAATATAACTACAGTCGAACCTCCAATAACGGCCACCTCTCTACAACAGCCATTTTTTTTGTTGCTGGAAAGTCTATACAATGACCAGGTGGCCATTGTAGAGAGGTTCGACTGCATAATTCGCTTTTAACTACCCTCAAAAGGGAGGATTCCTTTTTTTTTCAAACTGACCAATTTACAGAAATCCAAAAAGATTGATCGCACTTCTTCAATAGCTCACACTCGTTCGTTTCTATTCAAGGAAATGACGGAAATTCCTTCGCCTTACAAATTTTTGAGAACACCACTTTATGGTGCGAAAACTCTCACAACCACCTTCAGGCCAAGCAGAAAGCAAAAGACATCAAAGGCAGTAACATAGCGATTCTTCTCGACTTGGAACAACAAACAATGAACATTTACTGGAATGGCAGACTGCAGACGGACGACAGCCGCCCTGGGGGACCCTCCTTCGTAGGAGTAGTTGGCCCAGTTAAGCCGGCGTTTAGCGTGTTTGGAAGCTCTGTCCAGTTCAGTATACTGACTGGTTTGGAAAAACCAACTGTTTCCACTGGTAAGATATGAAGTTTGGTATCACTCTGTCCCTCTGACAGTCCATAACCCGGCGCGAGTGACTGTTATACTATTGCCTTTGTCACGGCGTTTTCACCGACCGGTTTATTTTTAGATAAATTTTAGAGCGCTTTTTCCCGCAAAATGGAAGCTCCGCTCCGTAATCTTAGCTCATTCGATATAAGTTATAGAAAATGTAAACTAGTAAGTCTCTAGGTTTTGCTGGCTGGTTTTGTGAGACCATAGTTAATTGAGTGGAATGGTTATGAAACCCGTCAGACTCCTTTGTTATATGTTTTTGTGGACCTGAAAGTGCACAACGTTCAAAAGAATTCCTATCATTTTGATTGTATTGACAAAAAAAACGTTGCATTAATTTATTCCGTAACAATTTGCCAACAGAAAACAAAGGATTGTGAACTTTCAGGGTGCTTCCCACATAAACTGCAGCACTGTTGTTTTTATCATTGATGTTTGCCGCTTTTCATAACCAGTCTCCTCTAATAACTATGGTGAGACCTAAAGAATATTCTAGATTTGCGTCAAAATCGTTGTAAAAAGGAAATGGGCCGGTAAAAAACGTCGTGACTCGAGTTCATGTAAGTTACTCACTCCACGGGTTATGGGCTCCTGATCCTGCCTAATAACGACAGATGCACAAGACCAAATGGACTGATCAGAACAAAAATGTCTGGCAAACGAACGAGTCTTAATTGTTTTTTTTTAACAAATGGCAGCAAAACTTAGTGGATGAGATAAAAAGCAATGAAATTAAGGATCACGATGAGGCACATTTCTTATTTATTTTTTTTAGATGAAAGAATACGAGACCTGCCTTGGCTACTACCCATCGACTCAGTGTGAAATATCCCTTTTTTTCTAGGTCCTCCTATTATCCATCTCGATGAATGCGGTGTCGAAAACACCAAAATCAACCTAGTGTGGTCTCCCCCGGAAACTGGTAATGTGGACTGCTACATTGTAGAGATCGACACCCTTAACCGGGAGGGGGACATCCACCAAGAGCGAAATTTTACCAAAGTATACCAAGGACCGCGCACTAAGTACACTCTAAGAGGACTGGACTACAATGTTACGGTTGTTGCGCGGGTCAAGGCGCTGAATACCGCTGGAGAGAGTGAACCTAGTGACGAAGTATCGCTTTCGACCGAAAAAGGTGCTGAAATCTAATTCTAGATGCAGTAGAACCTCAATAACTTGAATTATCCCCGCTAAATCGAAGTAAATTTTCTTTCCCGTGATCAAAATTTCACTGAGATTTACTCCGATAACTCGAATCGCCCGCTAACTAGAACTGTTTTTCGTTTCTCTTCAGAGTTCGAGTTACCCGGGTTCTACTGTATAGCCAATAGACTGTACGTTAGTTTTCTTCAGTAAAAATGAGTTTTTATATTTTCTCAATACCTTTTAAGGTAGTCTTATTCTGATTGAGTGAAAAAAGATTTCAGAGAAGTTATATTTTTAAAATGGTCCGAATTCGCCACAAACTAAATATATCTTTTTTCCAGTGGAACGATATCTACCAAAAAAGGCTTCTGCTCCTTACGACACGACTCGATATTTTCTTTGTTTTTTAAGGTGTTATGTTCAAACTGGATGAAGAAAACCTGCATGAATCTCTGGACCTCATCAGAGGAAATCTTACAGTGAAACAGTCGAGTATGGTTCATGCTAACGTGTTTGGAACAGCATTTCTTGCTGATGGTCGCCATTTTTGGACGGTGAAAATCGATAGCTTTAAAGGCGAAAACTCTTTCATCGCAGTAGGTTAGTTTTCAGAGACCGGGTTGGTGCTTCCATGAATTTTATTTTCTTAGTGTTTAACACTGATTTCCGAACATCAAGCAAAATTGGCTGGTTTTATACTTTTGCGTGGGTAAAATCTTGCCTCTTATATCAGTATATTAAATTAAAAAACTAACAAAAGTTCATGCTTAAGTGCATCAGTTTTTGTATCATAAAATAAGGTTTAATTTTACGATTCAGTTTAATAACATCGTAAGAAGAAAATTGTTCCATGTTCTTCTTATGCTTGCAGTTAAGCTTGCATACTGAATGTTGCGCGTCACTGAAGTATATAGGCATAAGAATAAGCAAGTAAGTAGGTAACTTGGCCTCGTGTTCATCACTTCTGTTTGTCCGCAATCTTAAGCGGACTCAAATTTGGCACCAGATTTAGCCGCGCTAAAGGGCACTAAACCTTTTTGTGATCTTACCTTCGCTTTCACGTATTTCACATTACTTTCGTTTATCTAAGAATTGTGAGTTCTTACAAATGCGTCATACGCGAGAACCTGTCATGCCTCTATGATGCTAAACTAAATTGCATGTATTACCTAACCAAACTTGTGCGAAATCATCCACCCTCTTTAGCACAGAGAGGTCAAAAACCTCCCCTGCCCTGCGACACACCCCCGTATATGCCATCTAAGGGAGTACCCCAGCCACCCCTCCCCCCGCCCCCATCACCACCACCACCACTACTTGCGCTTCATAGACTCACTCTCCAGCCGTAGGTGTCTCGATGCGCCCGCGGGTGCTTCCCACCCGGGGGGGTATCGTGGTTGCATCGATCGAGATACAGTTGACTCTTTTTGAATTTATAGAAATCTGGTTGTGATGTCGAGGCTCATGTTAAAAGGGAATGTGATTCGTTAATCGCCATTATGGAGAAGAAGAAAGTTGAGCTTCTAAAGCGTGTAACTGAAGAGTACCAGGATAAACTGGACGAGATTAACAAAGCTATGCACCAGTGTGAACATGTACTACTGCAAGGTGATGGTTTAGCCGAGTTTACGCAAGAAGCTCTTAAGGAAGACAATCCTGCTACATTCCTACAGGTACGACTAAGAAGCGGTGTAGTAAGAATACGAACATGACTCGACAATGGGTTAAAAATCGACCCTGAGAGTACATAAGTCAGTACGGATCAGAAATAGGCTAAATACGAAATGCTGTGTCCTCCTGCTCATCATCATCATCATCAGTAGTGCTATTATTATTTTAAAACAAAATTTCATATAGTTGATTTTTACAGAGCCCATGTTTTATCATCACGAAAAATCTTGACCAAAATGCTGGAATGTGAATGATAAACGTAGGTATATGTACCAAACAACTGAATTGCGTTTTGCGCTTGCTCTGACTGATGGCTAGCTCAGGTGGAAAAGCATTTACTATGTACATCATAGCAACCGTTAGCGCTGACGAAGAAGAATATTGAGTTTTCCTCATTAAAATGAGCTGCACTGCCGAAAAATGTTAGGAAATCAGGAAGGTCAAACAATCGACAAAGCGGGGCAAATAAAAACCAAGTTATTCCCCTCTAAATCGTAATAGATTAGTATTTGTCATATGTTATTTTGTAGACTGCCAGTTCTCTGAAGACGAGGCTGAATCTTATGCTAGAAACAATCCGAACTCTTCCCAGTGCCTCTTCCATCACGCCGACGTTTGATCACATGGCAGTGGACGCATCATGGGAAAGGAAAGTCCTGAAGAAGGTCACGTGGCTTCAAATACCAGGTAAAAGAAACATAGTCTCCTAAACTGGATGGGTCGAAGTAACTAAACAAAAACGAAGAGTAAAGTGAAAATGCCGTAACGCAAATAGCGTTTGAATGGTTAGGGTAATTGTTTTCTGCCGTTGATGAAAATGGTGGATTTTGCGACCAATGGACTCTGAACAACACAAGTTCTTGACTGATTTTTGATATTACGAGGATTTGCGCTTTCAAAATAACTCTTTCTCATGCGCCTTCCGATTCTTAAACAGAATTTCAAAAGTCACTTAGTAAATTCCTAGAAAATTAATTTAGAAATAGTTACTCCAATTGAGGTATTATTACTTTTAAAAGTGGTGTTTAATTTATCAGGCAGGCCAAGCTTCGTTACATCTCAGTGTAAAGCCACAAACCGGACAGTCCAGTTGTTTTGGAGCCAGCCGCCAAACGCAGTTGATGCCTATTACTTGGAGGCCGATATTTATCCACCAAACCGAGGCCCTAACGAAAAGGAGCACCATGAAACGGTGCAACTGTCTCTAGGGAAAGCCTGTAAATATATCCTGGAGTGCCCTCATTACAACTCTAAGGTTTCAGCTAGAGTCCGTGCGTCAAACAGAGCGGGAGATGGACCTTTCAGTCAAGAAATCACTATTTATACAGACAAAGGTATTCCAAAAAAATAAGCATGCTAGAAACATTTACGCTTCTTGGGGCTGCGCATGCCCAATTCGCCACTTGAGAAACTATAAGGAAACTAGGCCGAGTTAACTTTCGCAAAGACGTCTGGGACTGTTTAGGCTATGGACAGGGGGGAGGGGTGGGGGAAATGGCCAATAGCTGACCAGAGTGTCCCCAGTAACGATCCCAGAAAGCATTGCAGGACACATTTCGGCTCCAGTTCCCTTCTCGCTTCTAAAATGGCGAATGGTGTGAGGCTGATTTGTAGCCAACTGTGGTCTTTTTCCTTTGCACACCATAAAAACGAGTTCATCTCCAAATAAATAAGGAATTTTTTATCGGGAGAGAAAATAATTACTTTTTGAACATGAAAAAGACGAACTATACGTCTTTCTGTTATTGATTAAACAAGACTCATAACCTTTACCAAAATTCCGCCTTCCAAAATATCCCTAAATTATATAATTACATTCACAATGCCAGAAGTATTGTTGAAAGTTTCTTTAGTGCGCCCTACTGGTATGCAAATTGGACCAAAGGGTCTCCAAAAAGTAAGACTAAGGAGTTCAGAATGAAGTTATTTGAGGGCGATTGGTTTTAAATTGTTAAGTCACTGGACCGCACTTATAATGAGTTCCTAAGTTGTAAATTACAACTGAGTTCTTAAGAACTCGTTTGAATGTGTTCGTGCGTTCCAGATCGAATTGGAATTTGGAAATGTTGGTTTTTGACAAGAGGAGAAGACCGGAGCACACAAAGAAAAACTTCTCGAAGGCATCGTAGCTGAGCGGTTAGAGCCCCGAGTTCAAGTCCCGCCCTGACCGCTAGCTGGATTTGTTCACGGTAGTCCCGAGTTCAAATCCTCGGCCATGCTTGTAAATTAATAGCCAGCTGGTTTGCCTCCGGCCAGTTGGGATTCCTACCTTGTTATGTTTGTTTGAATTATTTGTTTCAACCATTTGCTCGGCCCCACTAACATAAGTCCTTTAAATACTGCCGAGGGTAAATAAAGGAATTACTTATTTATTTATTTATTTATTTATTTATTTATTTATTTATTTATTTATTTATTTATTTCGGAGGAAAAGAGAGAACCAACAAACAAACTCAACTCACATATGGCGTCGATATCGCGCTTCGAACTTCTTGGCTCCCTCAGTGGGACGAAGCGAGTGTTCTCATACCACTGCGCCACTCTTGCCCCCGCATCAACACTGTAGCCTGTTTTAACACTTTCCTTCTCAACAGGAATTAACTTCACGCTGGATCCCTCTTCAAAATTTAAACGGGAGCTTGTATTTTCTCGTGATCTCTCTGTGGCAAAATTGACAAGCCCAGTAATCGCGAATGTTACGGGAAACGTGGTGCTTTCAAGCGGTTGCCATTACTGGAAAATCCGGATTGACCAGTTCGCTGGATCTGCTAATAATGGATTCGTTGCTGTTGGTGTTGCTAAAGAGTTGCAAGAAGGGACGCCGATAGGTAGGATGACATATTGAGATTTCGAGATACGCCTAATTTCAATAACGTTGTCTTAGAAAAATGAAAAAGAAAAAAGCCAAATAGGACTAAATTAGCCTAATTAAGCCACATTCTCAGGGTGGATTCATTTGCAGCCGTTGCATTTCCCCCGCTGGAACTTTTTAAATTCTTTTTTAGCGTTAAAATAATAGCAAATTCCAACAGGCAAGTACGACGTCCAGTACGGATGCTGCACATATGCTATGGCATTGTAGTTGTCCTGTGATCATAAACAAACTTAAACGCCTTTAATATAACTACAGTCGAACCTCCAATGACGGCCACCTCTCTGCAACAGCCATTTTTTTTGTTTTTGGAAAGTCTATACCTTGACCAGGTGGCCATTGTAGAGAGGTTCCTCTGCACACTTCGCTTTTAACTACCCTCAAAAGGAAGGATTCCTTTTTTTTTTTTTTTTTCAAACTGACCAATTTACAGGAATCCAAAAAGATTGATCGCACTTCT